AGCACTTTAGAGAGGTCTCTAACCACAGGCTTTCCTATCGCAATACGTCTTTTAATTTCCTGGCTGCTGGTGCCAAGAGTGTTGACTGTGGATCCAAGCAAACCAAAACTGTGAACAATTTCAATCTCTTCACCATCCATTATGCCACTGCCAATCAGCCCAGTGGTAAGAATCTTTGTTTCTTGATATTTAGTCTCAATCCATACTGAAGGCTGCAGTCCCTGACCTTCCACAGCAAGTGCTTCAGGTCCTCTTCAGTTTCAGCAAGCAAGATTGTGTCATCTGCATAATGCAGATTATTGATGATTCTTCCTCCAATCCTGATGCCACATTTCTCCGTATAGAGCCCAGCCTCCCGGATAACCTGTTCTGCATAAAGATTGAAAAGATATGAAGACAGGATACAGCCCTGGCGTACACCCTTCCCAATTTTGAACCATGCAGTGTTTCCTTGGTCTGTTCTGACAACAGCCTCCTGGTCCAAGTATAGGTTTTGCCCAAGCACAATCAAGTGTTCTGGGATTCCCATTCTTCTCAGAGTCAGCCACAGTTTGTTATGATCCACACAGTCAAATGCCTTTGCATAATCAATGAAACAAAGATAGACATTCTTCTGGTACTCCTTGCTTTCAGCCAAGATTCATCTAACATTAGCTAAATATCCCTAGTACCACAGTCCCATCTAAATCCAGCCTGCACTTCTGGTAGTTGTCTGTTGATGTGTTGTTCCAGTCATTTTTGGATAATCTTCAGCAAAATCTTGCTTGCATGTGATATTGATGATATTGTTCGATAATTCCCACACTCTGTGGGATCACCTTTCTTTGGAACGGGAACAAATATAGATCTCTTCCAGTCAGTTGGCCAAGTGGTAGTTCTCCAGATTTCTTGTAACTATAGTATTATGTAATTAGTATTATTGTAATCTTTGAGCTGTGGTGCTGGAGAAGAGTATTGAGAATACTATGGACTGCTAGGAAAACAAACAGATTTGTCCTGGAAAGGGTTAAACCGGGTGGCTCCTTGGAGGCAAGGATTCCGAGACTCCGTCTAACATACTTTGGACATGTTGTGAGGAGAGACAGGTCCTTGGAAAAGGACATCATGCTTGGGATGGTGGAGGGACAGCGCAGGAGAGGAAGGCCCTCTATGAGGTGGACTGATTCAGTGACTGGGATAATTGGGATGGGAGTGTCAGAGACAGTGCGATTGGCACAGGACAGAGCGGAGGTTAGGGCTGTTGTACATAGGGTCGCTATGAGTCGCAAGCAACTCAACGGCACATAACAACAACAACAACAGTATTATGTAATTATTATATATATTATTATATGTAATCTAGTCTTATGCTAATTCAGAAAGCTTCACCATGGATGGAGACAAGATTGAAGTTGTCAACACTTTCCTTTTACTTGGATACACAATCTGACAGTGGTGGTCAAGAAATCACAGATGTGTTGCTTTGTGAAAGTCTGTGGTGAAGGTCCCCGGCTGCAGATTTAGGGCCCTACAAACATGATTTCAGCCTTGCCTGACCCTCTCTGTCCTCACATCTCCACTGTGGTCAAGGCCATTGTTGCAACCACTGTACCAACTCGTCTCATTAAGGAGCTTCCTCTCCCCTGTGTGCCCACCTTTCCAAGCATGACGCCCTTTTCCAAGGACAGGTCCCTCCTGACACCACACCCAAAAAGTCTGTGAGATGAAGTCTCTCCATCCCTGCCTCTAAGGAACACTCTGGGTACGTTTCTTCCAACACAGATTTGTTTGTTCTTCTCACAGTCTACAAAGTATGTTCAGTACTTTTTGTCAACACCACAATTCAAAGGCAGTTTTCCTTATTTATTGTTCAACTTTCACATGTACATGAAGCTACTGTTTTCTTAATGTTGAGATATAATCCATATTGAAGACTATATAGCCTTTGATCTTCTTCATTAAGTGATCCAAGTCTTCACTTTTTTCCTTTTTTATTATTATTACTATTACTACTACTATTTATTATTATAATTATTAAATTTTGTGGTTGTACCGTCAAATCAGAGCATCTGGTGGATTTGAACCACACACCTTTGGGATTGCAGTGCAGCTTCTTGCCACTCGGCCACCAGAGCTCCCCTCTTTTCAATTATTTTTTAATTAGCAGATTCCAATAAACACAACAGTTGCAGAAACATACTGATGACATCCAAGGAGAGACTGATTGCTGCCAGTATGTCCTCTTCAGGTGCCAGCCTTCAGGTGCATCAGTGAGTGGGTGTCACAGATGAAGCTGCACAAAAGCAGGGCTCCCCAAGCAGCAAAGATCAAAGTATAAAAACACAGAACAAGTCACTGCAGTCAAGAGAACTTGCAGAGAAAAGATGCTATAAACTTTTCTTAGAAAAGTCATTCAGATGTGCACGCTGGCCAAGGCCGCACAGCTGCCATAGTTGAAGTCATCCTCGACCAACGAGGATGGGTAGTGAGGGTCTGAGCTGACCATGGTGACGAGGGAAGCTGGAGTCACCCTGGTGGAGAGGAAATGACACTTATCACAATGGACATCTACTTAGTTCCTGGATGGAGTCTCAAATCTTCATTTTCAGCAAGCAAGGTTGTGCTTTCTCATAATCCAGGTTGTTGATGAATCTTCCTCCAATCCTGGTGCCATGTTCTTATTATCCAGATTCTCAAATTATTTGTTCAACATGCAGACTGGACAGATACAGAGAAAGACTAACCCTGATGTGCACAATTTTCTTGATATTAAACCATGCAGTATTCCCTTAAACTGTTCAGATCACTACTTTTTGGGTTATGTGTAGGCTTTCCATGAGCACAGGTCTGGGATTCTTATTCTTTTCAATGTTATCTAGAACTTGTCATAACTCACATAGTCAAATGCCATTGCACAATCAAAAAAGCACAATTTTCTGGTATTCTCTGCTTTCAACCAAGATCTCTCTGACATCAGCGATGATATCCTTCATTCCATGACCTCTCTGACTCCAGCTTAAATTTCTGATGGTTCCACCATGCACTGTTCCAGCGGTTTTTAATAATCTAAAGCAAAGGCCTACCAGAACATTAGTTGTGCTCACATGAAACCTCTGCTTCGACCAGGAAGCAGTTGTCAGAACAGGGCTGGGAAACACTGCATGGTTCAAAATCAGGAAGGGAGTGTGTCAGGGATGCGTTCTGTCTCCATACCTTTTCAATGTATATGCAGAAAGATTATCCAGAAGGAAGGAGGAATGTGGCAATCAGGATTGGAGGAAGACTCATCGACAACCTACATTATGTGGATGACACAACCTTGCTTGCTAAAACTGAGGAGGATAGGAAGCATTTGCTGCTGAATGTCAAGAACTATACTCTTCAACATAGACTAAAGCTAAACATTAAGAAAACAAAGATAAAAAAAAAAAAGAAAACAAAGATTCTCACCACTGGGTCAATTAGCAGTTTCAGGATGGACAGAGAAGAGATTGAGATTGAGATTGTTGATTTCAGCTGTGTTGGTTCCACAATCAACACTCTTAATTACCAGCAGTCAGGAAATCAAAAGACAAACTACATTGGGAAAGACTGCTGTCAGGGCTCTCTCTAGAGTACTGAAGAGCAATGCTGTCAGTCTAGACACTAAGGTGCAGACTATGGTCTTTGCAATTACTTGCTATGCATCAGAGAGGACAATAACTAAGGATGATAGAAGAAGGATCGATTGAATTGTGGTGCTGGAAAATAGTGTTGAACAAACCGTGGACTGCAAGGAGAAAAAAAAGGCAAGGATATTGAGGCTCCATTTCACATACTTCAGGAGCACGTGGCCAGGAGGGACCAGTCCTTGGAAAGGGACATCATACTTGGAAGGGTGGAGGAGGGACAGCACAGGAAAGGAAGACCCAGGATGAGATGGATTTGAATCAGAGTTCGGAGAAATGAGATTAATTCTGACAGAGACAATGAGATTGGCTCAGGATAGAGGAGGTTTCAGAGCTAATGTACACAGGGTCGCTGTGAGTCTCAGGCGACTCGATGGCACATAACAACAAAGCAAGATTTTATTTGCATGTGATAGTGATATTTGGTAATTCTTACATTCTGCTTGACTGTCTTTTTTTTTTTTAATAGTCAACAGTCTTGGCACCAGCAGCCAGGAAATTAAAAGGCGCATTGCCATGGGAAAGCCTGCTGTTAGGGACCTCTCCAAAGTGCTGAAGAGCAATGGTGTCTCTCTGGAGACTAAGGTGCGTTTGATACAGGCCATGGTCTTCGCAATCACTTGTTATGCATCAGAGAGTTGGACAATGACCAAAGAGGATAGGAGAATTGATGTCTTTGAGCTGTGGTGCTGGAGAAGAGTATTGAGAATACCATGGACTGCTAGGAAAACAAGCAGATTCGTCCTGGAAAAGGTTAAACCGGGTGGCTCCTTGGAGGCAAGGATTCTGAGGCTTCGTCTAACATACTTTGGACATGTTGTGAGGAGAGACCAGTCCTTGGAGAAGGACATCATGCTTGGGAGGGTGGAGGGACAGCGCTGGAGGGGAAGGCCCTCTATGAGGTGGATTGATTCGGTGACTGGGGTAATCGGGATGAGAGTGTCAGAGACAGTGCGATTGGCACAGGACAGAGCAGAGTTTAGGGCTGTTGTACATAGGGTCGCTATGAGTCTCAAGCGACTCGACGGCACATAACAACAACAACAACAACAACAAGGAACAGGCTGCATCTGTGTGTTGAAAAACTCGCATTGGTATTCCATCAACCCATAGTGCCTAATTTTAGCCAATGCCTTCCTTCAGTGCAGCTTGGACGTGTTCCTTCAGCACCCTTGCTTCTTGATCAGAAATACTTCCTGAAATGGAAAAAGAGGTAGCGGTTTCTTTAAGAGTATCTCGCTAAGCCCCGCCCACATTAAGGCACGTGCTCCTCAGCTCCGCCCCAGGGAAGGGCCTCCGGGAGGTTTGAAAGAAGGCGCGCGGTTAGGAGCTGCGGTTGGGCCTGTGGCTGGGATGTCGGTGTTGAAGCCGCTGGACAAACTGCCTGCGCTGAACAAGGCCACCATCCTGGTAGGTCGCTCTCTCTGCCCGCCATTCCTCCTTGGTGCCCCCGCTGCCCTTCTTTCCCTGCTCTCTGAGGTGCTGGCGCGCGCTGTTCCGGAGAAGGCGGGAGTGCCACGCTCTGAGCCAATCAGAGTAGCTATTCTCTGAGGCGGCCGGACATCTCCGCCTATCGAAGCGCGAGGATTGCTTTCCTGACTTCACCGGGGCGGGGGGGAGAGGGGGGGAAAGGGGAGCGATGCCCGGCGGACTGGATTTTCCTGCATTGTGCGCCCGGTCACCAGGAGGGATCTGGGGCAGAGGACGGGCCAGGGTAATGGCCACTGCTGTCCACCTCGAGGCTCCGTCTCCTCTGAGAGCTCTTCCTCGGTAGAGCGGCCTCCGAGGCGGAGCCGCAATCCCGGGGTCGCGTCGCCGCGGTTCCGGTGCGGTCGGCTCCCCAGAGTGGCAGGGAGGGACTGCTGTGCCCGGTGCCCATCGCTCATCTTCTCTCTGGACAGCTGGTGAGCACGGAGGACGCCGTTCTTCAGCAGTTGGCGGAGTCCATGCTCCGGGAGGACTGCGCATCCCAGCTGCTGGTGTGAGTAGTCAGGCGGGATTGGTCCTCTGCGGCTGCGGCCTGGGCGCCAGGAGGCGGGGCCCGGGGCGGAGCCTCTGGTGGGTGGGCGGGACCGGGGCGGGGCTCTGGTGGGTGGGCGGGGCACAGGGGGCGGGGCCGCGGGGAAGGGGTTCCCTCATCCCAACAGTGGTCTCCAGGTGCATCCACCTTCAGCTTGTGTCAGAACTTCATTCCTTATTTTTTTCAATTTTTTTCTTGTGATTTGAGTCAAAGTGTAAAAAGCAAATTCGTTTTCCATTACAACCCCCACATTGTAACTGCGCTGTTTACGCCTCTTATGATTGTTTAGTCGCTAGTAGCTGCTCAGCGGGAGAAAAATTAGGAGAAAGATTCTCTTACCCTCTTATTTGACTGCCTCTGAAAACCCGCTTGGAGGGCCCGGCTGGGAGTCGGTTCTGCCTTTGCCGGTACATACCAACAATATTCATTCTTCTGTCGCCTGGACAAAGGCTGCCATTTGGTCCTGTTTGAAGAATTGTTCTCGGCAGGCTTACCTCCCTGCTGGACTTGAACATCTATCCGACACACCTCTCTATTATTTGGATGAAAGTTGAGCCACAAGCATTAGTTTAAGGCTCAGAGGGTGACTTAAGGGCTATTGTCTTGGGGTTTTTACTTTCTTCCACATTTTTTCCCCTCTCTCTCAGAACCCTCTATGATGCGCCCCTTCAGAGCAGCCACAAATGGTAGCGGGGCACCATCCACTTCCTCTGGTCTGAGGGTCGTGGAGGTTGAGGTTTACATGGTCCACTAATCCCTTAGAACTGATTGTTTCCATGCATCCTTGACCTTCTTCACTTCTTAGCAGCTGTGGACAGAGACAGACCAGTAGTTGTACCTTACATGACCACTAGAACTCCATTCTTTTACATGGCTGCATAGTATTCCCATGTAGTTATCAGCCACATTTTGCTTATTCTTTCCTCCATTAGCATGGTGAGGCTTCAGCTCACATATTTTGGGCATGTTGCTAGGAAAAGCTATTCCTTGGAAAGGTGGAAGATCAGTGAAAGAAAGGAAGACACCCCCCCCAATTGTTGTTGTTGTTATGTGCCATCAAGTCGCTTGTGACTTATAGCAACCCTATGTACAAGAGCTCTAAATGCTGTTCTATCCTGTACCAACCTAGCCATCTCAAACGCACTTATTCCCACCACTCCAGTCACAGAATCGATCCATCTCATCAAAGGTCTTCCTCTCCTTCGCCTCCCCTCCACTCTGCCAAACAGGATGTCCCTCTCCAAGGACCAGGCCCTCCTTGCAACATGCCCAAAATATGTCAGACGAAGCTTCAGAATCCTTGACTCCAGGGAACACTCTGGCCTCACTCTCTCCAGGACAAACCTGTTCTCCTAGCAGTCCACGGTATATTCCATATTCTTCTCCAGCACCACAGCTCAAAGGCATCAATCTTCTATCAACCCTGTTCACCGTCCAACTCTCTGATGCATAGTACATAATTGTGAAGACTATAGCTCAGATCAGGCGCACCTTAGTCTCCAGCCTGACATCGTTGCTCTTCAGTACTTTTGAGAGGTCCCTCACAGCCGACTTTCCCCAATAAGGTGTATTGATACAGTGACTGCAGCAATAGGCTCAGGTGTATCAGGGATAGTGAGGATGGCACAGGATAGGACAGGATTCAGGTCTGTTGTTAGGGTCAGTGAGTCTTACTTGACTTGACAACACCTAACAACAACAACAGACAGTCACTAACAACAGCTCCCCCGGCAGAGGGAACCAGTCAGGAGAGAGCCCACAGGAGGACAGCTCTGACTGGCTAGAAGCTGCTGCCACCTTCTGAGTAACATCACTCAGCAGATGCTCTGGGCTCTCCTAAATGGCAGGCCCAGGGCACAGGGGAGAACAGTGAGCAAGACAGGGAGAACATTGTCTGTCTGCCTGGAGTTTAGCAGTCGAGCAGGGAAGATGGTTTTATGCAGGAGAGGTACAGGTGGCTGTGAGTGAAGAAGGAAGATGTTGAGGGTGGGCTGTTTCCGTAGCGTTTCCAGACAACCCGCTGAGATAGCTCAGGGTCATTGCAGCCCAGTACAGTAAAGCAAAGCGTGCATCTGTTTGGCTTCCTGGTGCATTTAAACATTATGTTTATACTGTACCAAAGTCTATTAGGTGTTCAGCAGCTTGGCGGGGGAAACTTTAACTCTGGAGAATTAGCAAAATGAGGCGCAAAGTGAGCACACACTGTTAGCGGAAATGGTGCCAGTAGATTGCAGGGTTGCCACGGCCTTTGTAGAACAACGCAGCATCAGCAGAGCCAGCCGTGCCTGTTCCTTGCTCCTCAGGGTGAAGCTGTCTTAGTCGCTTTCCCAGCCCCACCGACCTCAAGGGGAGCGTGATTGTCCCATCCTCGGGTCCTCTCTGCTCTGGCAGCATGAGAACAGGCTGGGGGTGCTCAGAGTGGTATGAGAAGCTCTTAGAATGAGGGTCACCCACCCAGCCTCATACCTAGGAGGTCACAGTGAGGTGGGTACGTTTATCTCCAACCCTCTGATGTCTTGCTTTTCAGGCACCTGGCCACCTCTCTCCCCCTGCCCTCCAATGTGACTCGACCCCGGATTGACCTGATTGTGTTCGTGGTGAACCTTCACAGCAAATACAGGTAGGGCTGGCAGGTCTCAGGTGCGCTGGGCTGGGGGGCTGGCAGGTCTCAGGTGCGCTGGGCGGGGGGCTTCCCTTCTGATGGAAGGAGGGAGAGCAGAGAGAGGCTGCCTGGGGTTACCCGAGGATGGTCAGGTGGGCCAGTGTGCAGCACAGAAGAACCAGATGAACCCCACAATGTCATCCTGAGACTGGGCCACCTTATCTGCGTGACACCAGATGCAAATTGAAAGAGACATGCGCTCTCCTCATCCCAGGTTGGAGACCAGCTTTGGCCAGACACCCACACAAGTCATCCAGGGACCCCGTGTGGAAGCAGGGTGTCTCTGTGTCTGAACCAGCTCCCGAAAGATGAGGAGTTAGTCAGGTGAAGATGAGAATGGGCAGAGTTCCAAGCAAACGGGAGAGAGCGGAGTGTGAGGAGGACTGGGGAGGTTTGTGGGGAGTCAGGAACCTGACCTGGTTTGGGGACCCTGCAGGTGACAGCAGGGAAGATGAAGCCTGTGGCCCAGGGTGACCTCCTTGTGTGATTCTGGGACAGAACTAGAGTCAGCAGTGAGGAGGACAGAAGTGAGGTCACCCCTCTTCCCATCCTGGGGAGACTGAGGTCAGCCAGGGGGTTCAGGAACCAGTACAGAAACCTACACAGACACCTAGTCATGGGATGGGGCTCAGAGGGAGTCATGGAAGTACATGTAGTGACAGGCTGAGCCGAGACCTCAGGGACTGACCACGTGGATCCAAGAAAACCCAGAGCGCAGCCATCGGTGGGCCCGTCCTCAGCCACTCTTCGTGCAGGACCCCCTCTGCTGTTGGCCTCAGACCTCATTCTGACCAAGATATGGCATGTTCCTTCACCTGCCTGGACGCCGGTGTGGTCCAGGAGGTCCAAGTGTGTCCCTTGTTTGAAGAAGGAAGGCTGACTTCATACATTAGCACCACTGTGGGTCAGTATTACTGTAGTGGAGACCCTGGGTGACAGACACCATGAAGCATTAACCGTCAAGCAATGGAAGCGTCGGCTGTTCAGAACCACCTGACCACGCCTTGGAAGCTCGCGCTGGCAATCTACTCAGGGTCACTGAAGACCTGTGGTCCTGCCCTGCACACACGGGATCGCCACACGGAATCGACGCTGGCAGCTCTCACTGTCAGCGTGTGAGACGGCCCCTCCTCCAGAAGTGTTTGCTTGGGTGTGCGAAGACACACGTAAAAGAATGTCCATGAAACCCACAGCGTCCCTTTTCAGCGGGAAGGAGCTAAGAGAATACGTCGTCCCCTTTTCCTTATGAATCAGGGTGAAGTCTCTCTCAGGGAGGAGCGACAGGGAATGGCAAAGGACACACTGACAAAGGAGATTAATCAGAACTGGCTTTGACAAGCACTGTGACAATGGGACAATTAAAACGGATTTTCAAGGGAAAAAAAGAGGAACGAACTGGGGGGGGTAGAGAAAATAGTGCAGCAATGAATAAATGGAAATGCAAACTCTCTGTAAATGTTCATTAAAATTAATAAAATTTAATGAAAAAAAAGAATGTCCAGGCCGCGTTCTCGTAAGAGTGAGAAGTTGGAGACCACTTTCCCCCTCCACTGGGAAGATGGCTGAGGAGCCCTGGTAGCACAGTGGCACAGTGGTTTATGTGTTGAAAAGACGTGTAAAACCCACCAGCTGCTTCTCAACAGAAAGATACGGCAGTCGGCTCCTTTTGGGATTTACAGGCTTAGAAGCCGGCTGGAGGGTCGCTCCGAGTTAGTCTCAACCTGATGGCAGTTTGTGGAAGCAATGAATAGGTCATGGGGTATGGGGTGGTCATTGCGGAGACTGTCGTGACCACACTTACAGGCGATTGGATGAAAAGACGAATTGCAAACCAATATATTAACATGCTCCCACGTGTGGCATTTAAACACACACACACACACACACACACACACAACACTAGATGCATATGGACCCCTGTCTCTGTTTACACATGAAACAATTCTCTTGACAGCAGACAGCTCTGGGAAGTTGGGAATGCTGGGTGGCACTGGGAGAGGAGGCCTTGGATTTTGTCACGGATCCGTATTTACTAGCGGGTTCGTTTGCAAGCATGAGTCGTATCATTTTGGTAAACGAGGAGACAAAGCACTATCGCAGGGCAGCTTCCGGTGCCGCCTCTGTGCTCTGCTGCGTCTCTGGCCTCAGGAACGGGGGCTTCCGCTGTCTGGAGTATAAGGTCCTCACCTCTGCCCTGTATCCTATCCCTGGCCTGACCACCAGCCTGCAGAACGTCATGGAGTCTCTGCGCCACGTGGACGCCAGCTTCTTCCTGGGGAAGGTGTGCTTCCTGGCCACGGGAGGTGAGTGTGGCCCTTCCCTGGCACTGCCTGACCCACCCACCCCACCCCCAGGGGCAGCCTGAGTGACGGAAAGGGCAAACCTGCTGCCTTTCTGAATGTGAGCCACGCTCCAGGGCCTTCAGAGTGAGATCCACGCCCCTTTGCCCCGCCTGCCTTTCAGGCCCAGCCCTGCCGTGAGTGCTTTGGTCAGCTTGTGGATCTCTGAACACAGCTCACTTTCCTGATGAGACTGTCATAGCCACCGTGGAAATAGTAACATCTGACCTTTCCTGCAGTCTCAGGCTGGTCCGAGCAGTTTCAGTGCTCAGGTTCAGTCAGTCAGTCAGGTGCCTGGGAAGAGAAGCCTGGCGGTGTCCTTCCATACCGTCAGCCAGTGGACACCGTGGGAGCTCCGTTCAGCTCCAGCTCACGCGGGGTGGCCCTGAGCTGGATTGCACACCAGGCGGGTGTTGTGTTTTGTTGGTTGTTCAGCCTTTACTGAGCATCCACTGTTGTGGCTGAGAAAACCGGTGTCGCAATTAAGACATATGCCTAACACCACGTAGAGTCTTCTCTGATCCTGAGGCCACATTCTTCACAAAGTGCAGCTCTTTGAATGACTTGTTCAGCACACAGATGGAATGGTTCAGGATACAGCCCTGACACACACCTTCCTTGATTTTGAACCTTTGGTTCACATGACAGCCTTTTGGTGTAGGTATAAGTTTCACATGAGCACAATTAAGTGTTCTAGACTTTCCATTCTTCCCACTGCTAGCTGTAATTAGTTGTGATCCACACAGTCAAGTGCCTTTGCATAGTTAACAAAATACAAATATACTTCCTTCTGGTGTCCTCTGCTTTCTGCCGAGATCCATCTGACAGCAGCAATGCCATGACCTCTTAGAAAACCCACTTGGATTTTTGTCTATATACTTCTCTGGCCATTTCTGAATTACCTTCAGCAAGATTTTGTTTCCATGTGATACTTATGATATTGTTTGATAATTTCTTCATTTTGTTGAATGAATGGTGAATTCCTAGTCACCATTTTGGGGAATAGGAATAAGTACGGATCTCTCCTAGTGAGTTGACCAAATAGCCGTCCTCCAAGTTGCTTGGCGCAGCCTGTTGGGCACACCCAGGGCTGCATCTGTTTGTCAGAATGTGTCAGTTGGGTTTATAGCGATTCCTGAAGCCTTATTTTTTGCCAAGAACTTCATTGCAACTTTAACTTCTTCCATTACCATTTGTTATTGATCAGATGCTACTTCCTGAAATGGTCTACATCAACCACTTTTTTTGGTACAGTGACTATGTATGTATTCCTTCTATCTTCTTTTGATGCTTCCTGGATCATTCAACACTTCTCCCATAACAACTTTCAGTATTGCAGCTAACGGCTTGAATTTGCTTTTCCGTTCTCTCAGTTTGAGAAATACCGAATGAGATTTTCCCTTTTGATTTTCTGGCTCCAGCTTTTTACACTTTTTGCCATAATAGTTTGCTCTGTCTTCTCAAGCTGCCCTTTGGAATCTCCTATTCAGTTCTTTTCCTTCATTTCTTCCCTTTGTTTTGTCTTCCTGACATACTAGTGTAATTACAGGAGCCTCTTCTGACATGTTTTGGTCTTTTCTTTCTTCCCTTTCTACTGACCTTTTGCTTTTTTCATTGATAATATTGTTGTGATGTGCAATCAAGTCGTTTACGACTTGACAACCCGAGGCTGTGAACCTCACCCTATTCTGAGCCAAACTCCCGTCTCTGACATACTTGAGCTCCTTGTGACTGTCCCTCTCATTGAAGGCCTTCCTCTCTTGCCCTGACCCTGCACCTTCCCAGGCATAATGGCTTTCTCCAGGCCCCGCCTGACAGGGTGCTCAAAATCATCATCCTTGCCTCCAAGGAGCACCTTGGTTTTGCTTTCTCCAGGGCAGATCTGTTTGTTCTTCCAGCCGTCCACAGGGTATCTGATACTCTTCCAGCACCTCAACTCAGACACTGATTCTCCTTGTGTCGTCCTTAGTCTTGTGCAGCCCTCAGATGCACAGCAAGTAATGGAAAAGACTATGACTTGGATCTTAGTCTCTAGATTGACATTGTTGCTCGTTAACGCTCTGGAGAGGTCTTTGAAAGCAGATTTTCCCCATATAACTCATCTTTTGATTTCCTGACTACCTGTGCCAAAGATATTGATTGTGTATCCAAGTAAGTTGAAATTATTGATGACTTCCATCCTTTTACCATCTATCACGATGCTGCCCATTGACCCAGGGGTGGTGGTGAGGATTTTGCTTTCTTGATCTTGAAATATAATCCATGTTGAAGGCTGTAGTCCCTGATCTTCTGTAACAAGTATTTCAAGGGCCCCTTACTGTCAGTAAGCAATATTGGGTCATCTGCATATTGCAAGTTGTTGATGAATCTTCCCCTGATCCTACACTATTCATACAGTTCAGCTTCTCCAGTGATCTGTGCATACAGATTGGAGAGCTATGGAGAATGGATGCATTCCTGATATACACCTTTTGTGATTTGAACCACGCAGTGTTCCCTTGCTGTGTTCGGACAATAGCTTCTTAGTCTAGACTTACTCTGTTGTGACTGTTGTTATATGCTGTCACATTGAAACTGACTGATAGCTGACCCTCCAGTGGGTTTTCAGAGGCAGTTAATCGAACAGGAGGAGATTTCCCATCTCTCTCCCATGGAACAGCTGGTAATTCAAACCACTTGTCTTTGGGTTCCTTACCACTTAGATCCTCTGAGCTCCTGGGCTGCAGGGACGACCATCCTCAGGTGATGGATCAGGCACCTTACAGAGCACCTCCTCAGAGTGCCGTGGGCACTGCCCCAGGGGAAGTTTCCCGCGGGCTGGCCAGCCCATTGACTAGGAGGAGGGGGCCTGGGAGCCTCAGGCAGGACACTGACCTCGGCCCCCACGCTCACGGCTTCTTTGCAGCTGGACAGGAGAGTCACTGCAGCATCCACCGCAACACCATCCTGAAGCTGGCCCACACCTACCGCAGCCCCCTGCTCTTCTGTGACTTGAAGGTGAGGACCCCACCTGAGAGGCTGGGCACTTGGGGACCAGGGAGAATCCAGCAGCCACGGTGGGTGTGGTAGGAGCATTGACTGCAGGGGCATCGCCAAGTGAGATGGCTCCTGCCATGGAGACACAGGTGCTGGCTTGGATCCGGCTTCTCCCCCTCCTGGGCAGGTCATCCCTCACCACAGGGTGCACTGCTGTGAGGAGAACCCTTCAGAGCTCACCATCCAAGCCTGGTTTCCTCTGTACTCTTAACTGGCCCGTCAGGTTGGGGGACACATATTCAGTGTAAGTCCTAGGCTGTCATCACGCCCATGTCCTGAACCCAGCCACTCCTCCAGTCCACCAGGCAGCTGGGTGCCTGGCGTCCCCCTTGCCTCCCTGGCTGGTGAACCACCTCAGATCTGTGCCCCAGTCCCGGTCTTCTAGTCACACAGCCAGCCAGGAGGTGGGGTCCACACCTCTGTCTGCCCTATAACCTCCCCTGCCCTGCAGCCTTGGTCAGCTCCTCTGTGGAAGGGAATCCCCATCTCCACTCCACGCCGCCAACACATGTGAGTGGCCGTTTAGCCGGCTCTGGCGCCAGAGTGGGTCAGTACTTGGCTGCTAACCGGAAAGTCAGCGGTTTCCATCATCTGCTCCATGAGGGACAGATTCCATAAAGATTACCCCGCACGAACCCTGCTGTGGAACTGATTCCAGGTCATCAGCCGTGCACTGAAGCTGTGAACCGCGGTGGGAACTGACTGCCTCATCTTTGTCCTAGTGGCTTTGAACTGCCAGCCTTTTGGTAGGACAGCTCTTAATCTGCTACACAGCTACCAGAGCTCTCTGTAGAGCTGACAACCTTGGTTAGAAAGAACACGGAGCCCTGGGTTTGGTCACCCATGACAGTGGTGCAGTTCTGTGTGTGACCACAGGGTGGCAGGCCACACCAGGCCCAGCTTCTGGTCCAGCCTGCGAGACCCCTTAGGAGGAGACCTGTTGGGCTTTGGCCGGCTTTCTGCAAAGCAGGGAGCCCAGTCTGGTCCAGCTGCCGCAGGGGCTGCAGTGATCCTCAGCTGAGACCCCTGGTGTTTGGACAGCCTTATCCCTGGGTTATCCTTTTCAGAGGATACCAGCATCACCAAGCTGGGCCTGGCTTTTGTGCCAAGGACCGTCAGCCTCGTTTCAGATGAAGAAGCACACTTGGGGTGGGGTGTGATTGGCCTTTCCTAGGCCCTGCGCTGGTCCCTAGGGACAGAGGTGACTCAGTGCCTGTCTGTCCTGTCAGGGTGCAGCAAGATAGACAGATATGACGGTGCCGCTGCAGAAGGCTTGGCTGGCTCACAGGAGGTCAGGTACCTCCGTCCTGCAGGTGGCAGGGCAAAGGGACAGTGAGGCCAGACTGCCGCTGGAGTGTGATATGGGGGTGAGAGGCGACCTGGGCAGACGACCAGGGCAAGGCTGCTGCCACGGGGACACAGCCCAGGACAGAGCAGAGAGAAGGCCGTGGCAGTTGGAGGGAGAGGGTTTACTCAGCGCGCACTCGGACAGCCGCTGTGTGCCCACGCTGCTCCAGGCCCTGGGGCCCAGGGTGGGCTGGACAGCAAACAGAGCCCCCTCCACCGGCGGAAGCGACCTGCTGCATTAGGAAGCAACCAGGTGGCGTGTCAGGTGGTGGCCAGTGGGTAACCCACGGATAGGGCGGCTGGGAAGGCCTCACGAGAAAGTAGCCTTTAAATAGGTGTACAGGCAGGGAGAAAGCAAGCCCTGGCGAGGCCTAGACCACACAGCACCACAGGCCGAGAAACGAGGTGCACAGGCCTTGGGCTTAGAGCTCACCTGGGGTCTCAAGGCCCAGCGAGAAGGCCTGGTGCCAGAGAAGACAAAACAGGGCTGTGTAGTGGGGGTGAGTCAGTGTGAAACCCCAGTGCCGTCCAGTCATTTCTGACTCCTAGTGACCCTCAGGGCAGGAGACCCGGTCCCACGGGTTCACACTGTGATTTTCACAGAAGCAGGCTGCCACAGCTTCCTCTCCTGCAGAAACTGTGGTGGTTTTGAATCACCAACCATTCCATTAACAGCCAGACACTGCCCACCAGGCTCCTGGACCCAGTGTGGTGGGATCTTGTCAGTAGCGGGAGAAGCAGTGGTTTTCCCTCTTAGGAACGTGGGAGCTACAGAAGGGCATGGGGCCAGGCAGGGAGACAGTCTGACCGCTGAGAGGAGTATAGGTTCAGGGAGGCCAGGGCCCAATCAGGGGGAGGCACCAGAAGCCATTCAAGGGGGAGTTCCGAGGGGCCCAGAGCAGTGGGGACTGCAGAAGGAGCTTGTCAGTGGTTCTGGGTATGAAGCTGACAGAGCATGCTGGTGGCCGAGACTTGAGGCAGGACGACTGGGGCTTCGGCCTGAGCCTCTGGACAGACAGTGTTGCCTTTAGCTGGAAGGAGAAGAATGCTGGGAGCCGGTGAGGGGGCTCCCCCACCAGCCGTCTGTCAGTCTGTCCTGTGCTGACTCGCGTGTTGCTGTGACGGTCCCTGGAAGCTCTGCCTGTGTTACTTCATATACCAGCAGGATCGCCCACAGTGGCTAGGTTTCAGGGCAGACAAATCTGTCTGAAGAAGTGCAACCAGAAAGCTGAGAAGGGTGGCAGGACCCTCATGTACTTGGTTAACCCTGGAGAAGGACATCGCGCCTGGCAGAGTAGAGGGTCCATGACAAAGAGAAAGGCCCTTGGGCTGTCAGTGGCTGTGGGCTCAGGAACAGCAAGGACTGTGGACAGCGCAGGACCCGGCTGTGTTCCATCCATTGTCTGGGAATTGGAACTGGCTCGATTGCATCCAACAGTCCAGGGTCCTCTGTTTAAACAACCTGAGATGTGGGTACCCCTCAGGTATCCAGATGGAGAAGCTGAGGCAGCTAAAGGGGTGTGAGTCTGAAATTCAAATTAAGATCTGGCCTAGAGACATGATGTGGGAGCCATCGCGGTGGTGGTGGTGGGTTGTCAGGTGCCCTCAAGTCAAGTATGACTCACAGTCAGCTCTGGACCCCGCCCCATCCTGTGCCCTCATCACCGCCACACCAGAGCCCACTGTTACAGTCACTGCGTCCGTCACTGACCCTCCACCTTTCCAAACACGAGGCCTTGCTCTGAGGACTGGCCCCTTGTAACGACATGCTCCACGTACGTGAGGTGAAGTCTCCATCTCTCTTGAAGGAGCATCTGGCCGCACTCTCATTTTCTAGGCAGCTGTACTCTTCTCCAGCACCACAGCTCAAAAGCGTTGATTCTTCTTCTGTTGTCTTTATTCATTGTCCCTCTCTCAGAGGTATAGTATTAAAAGACCATGGCTTTGAGGAGGTGCACCTTAGTCTTTAAACTGATATCCTTGCTCTTCAGCACTTTGGAGAAGTTCCTGACTACAGACTTAAAACTTTGGGATGAGCAAGGTCAGCGAGGGAGTGACTGAGACCCAAAGGCTGGGGCTGGGACATGTGGTGTTTAGATGTCAGGATGAAGAGGAGGCCATGGCTTGTGTGTTGGGAGGAGAGCCAGTGTGAGCGTGGGGCTCTGGAAGGAAACCAGCAGCTGCCAGCAGGTCAGTTCTATCGGAGCTGTGCCCCCACGGGTTTCCAGTACCTGCTGTTTGGAAGTTCTCTAGGCCTTTCTTCCGAGGCGCCTCTGCTGAGCTCAACGTCTCAGTCGCTTAGCAGTGGTGCATGTTTACCATTTGCACCACTCGGGTCCCTGGGGTCCTGGAAGCAGGTGGAGAAGCATTTCACAAAGAGTGTGAGCAGCTGTGGCTGGTGCGGCGAGAGGGCTGAGTATTCACCGCTAAGTTTGTAGCCCAGAGGTCCTGGATGACAGGTGGCAGGAGAAGGGCAGCAGGCTGGACAGCTTCCTTCTTGCACGAGCCTACAGAGGGAACAGGGCAGCCGTCGCTGGTTGTTCCCCCGAGGTGCTCCTCGCCTCCCTTCCTGCCCAGGTGGGCATGGCCTAGCATATTTCCTGGTGCTGCCCAGCCCCAAGGTCCCCTGTGCCCAGCAGCCCTTCACTGGCCTGATAAGGTGACTCTTGTTGTAGCCCTTGCATCTCCCCTGGTGAGGGGGCCCTGTCCACCCCCTTGCTTTGTGCCAGCTTGGTGAGCTTTGGAGTGGTGCAGCCTGGTCCAGTCCAGTCTCCTGGTCTGCAGTCACCAGCTGTGTGACACTGGACAGTTTCCTTAACCTTCCCCCAAGGCCTGCTGGCTACACTCCCCCCCAGCCAGGGGTCCTGGCCTCTGAGGTCCCAGCCTCTGGGGTTCCAGCCTCCGGGGTCCCGGCCTCCAGGGTTCCCGGCCTCCGGGGTCCCGGCCTCTGGGGACCCTTTCCTGGGATTGTTCAAAGGCTTGGAAGCTGTTTCATGAGGTGTGAACAGGGCAGGTGGGAGGTATGACTGAGAATGCAGCCATCATAGCTGTTCTGATCGGCTGCAGGGGATCTCTGGTGACAAGGACCAGAGGGCCCCGCCTGGCTCACCCCTGTGCTCCCCTTGCCCCCTGCAGTCAGAAGACTTCAAGGTCGCCATCGCTCAGCGCCTGCTGCGGATGCTACAGATCTGTGCCGGCCACATACCTGGCGTCTCTTCCCTAAACCTGCTGTCCCTGCTGCAGCGCTCAGAGACACCCACCCTGGAGGACCCACCCACCCTGGAGGACCTGTGAGGCCCGCTCAGCTGCTCCCCCCAAGCTGCTCCCTCAAAGCGCTCGGAGACACCCACCCTGGAGGACCCATGAGGCCCCTCTCAGCTGCCCCCCCAGCTACCCGCTTCGCAGCAGGGAGTCGGCCTGGGGGAGGGGCTGGAGAAGCACTTAGCAGCGGTGTCACAGCAGGGACACAGGACACTCAGCTGGTGGCCCAGCCTCCCACAGCCCCCTCTCCCGCACAGCCTCTGACATTTTACGAGCCCCCTCTCCCGCACAGCCTCTGACATTTTACGCTCCCACTTAAGCTCTCGTTGGAATAAAGGGTCCAAGGCTAAAAATGGTTTGAAAATCACTGGTCTCCACCACGTGGCGTCTGCAGACGAGGAGACTGACTCAGAACGATTAAGAGCAGGATGCCGGGCAGATGCACGGGCAGCCGGACGGACGGACGTCACCTCATCGCTGCTCGGCCGCCCAGCCTTCCTCGCCTCGCTTTTGTTCCCCTCTGCCTCAGTTCCCCATGTGGAGTGCGGATGGCTCCGTTTACCTTGTTGACTTGTGAGAACTGGGTGAAAGGGTGCGGTTGCAGGACCTCAGACGATGTCTCCTTCCACTTTGTGCCTGCCTTTCATAATGTCACAGCAAACGTCCCTGGTGTCCAGTTTGGGGCTAGACACACCGCAAGGGGAAAAAAGCTGTTCCTTGAAACCTCGCAGATCTCAGTTCCAGCCGTGGTGAAGTCCCCAAAGCACTCAGAGCCTGAGGCCCCCCGCCACCAGCCCTGTGTGGCTGTGAGAACCTTGGGGGACATTGAGGGTGACAACAGTCAGCAGTGGCATGTGTGATGTGGACTCTGGTCAGGGCTCCTGCCGCTCTGGGGTGCTGGCCTTGGCAGGAGGGTTGGGGGGCCAGTGACTCCCCCACAACACGCGGGCCTGCTGCCACGCTAGGGCCCCTGTGGGGCCTGGACTTCAGCTTTGGTGTCCCCACTGCAGCCAGAATCCTGTCGGTACCAGTGGCCTCCTGGTGGAGGACAGGCCAGCTGTCTCCCCATAGGCGTGCTGAGGGACCCTGGCCCCCTCCTGGAGGTGCCCGTACAACCTCGCCCTTGTGCTCGGAGGCTGTCTAGGGTGTCCCTCGCCACGAGCCCCCGTGTCACCGTGTTTATGGGACACGTCACACCTTACAGAGCTTTTCTCACACAGCCGCTCCTGGCATCCTCCCAACAGCCCTGCGAGGCCCCTGTGTTTCCCCGTTTCACAGTTGACGAAACTGAGACTTGTAGGAACGAGCATGTCCAGTCACAGCTACTCCCCAGCCCCTGGCCCCTCTGCCTTCCTCCGGTCACCTTCCCATATGTCCACTGCTGGGCAGTGTGTGAGCACCTCTGCTGGACAGGACCCAAACCATGGATGCAAGAGTGGGGTGAAGGTCTCAGACACCCCACTCCCTCATGTGACGGGCTGCTCGGCACCAGAGTGGTCAAGAGGACTGAAGGGGGGCAGGGACGCTGGGGCTGCGGCAACAGGGTGGGAGTGCAGGGCTGACGCATGCAGGGGGGCAGTTTCTGTGAGCAGTGGGGCGCTCTGGGCTGGAGGTGAGGCCTCCGAGGAGAACCTAGCCTTGATGGTGGAGGTTGGCCCAGGCTTGAAGCCACCTGCAGTGTCCCCAGTCCTTGAGCCTGGGCCAGGAAGAGCTGAGCTTTGCAGGGCCAGTGAGGGTGGTGGCCACACACCTGCCCCTTGTGGCCGCCCCAGTGTTTCTGCTGGAATCCAAGAGCAGATACTGCGTGGAGAAGCCCATTCTCGGCCCCCTTTGTCATAGTTTCTTTGCCACTGGTGCCATTTAAAATGAAAGTGGCATTGCATTCCTCAGCTGGCGGCCTAGGAGTCGTCCCAGTGCTGTGTGAACAAGATATCTGTCGTTGGCTGCCAGCCCCAGCCGAGGTTGGCAGAGGCCTGGAGCCCAGGGCTGCCCTCAGGGACCGGACGCTACAGGGCTGAGCAGCACTTACAAGGTGACCAGGCCACCCTGCAGGCCCCCTGTCCCTGAGTGGCCCCTCAGGCCTGGGAGTGTCGCTGAGGGAGTTGAGCATCTGGGAGGCTGTGAGAGGGCCATGATGGGAGAACATTCCCATACAACAGCACACCCACATTGGTGCTGGGGCGGAGTGGACAGCCTCAGCCACTCACTGGTCACCTGACTTCCCACAGGCCACCTGTCCTCCATGAGCCTCAGTTCCCAAAGTGGAGTCAGGCCAGTTGATGCCTGACTTCTAGCTGTGAGCACTGGGAATGAGGCCTCTTTCCTTTCACCCTCAAAGTGTTACGTCAGAAGAGACCGCTCAGACTGGCCAAGGTCACCCTGAGGCAGGTCTGGAGGGTAGACCAAGCCTGAGGACCCCGAGAAGTTACTCCTCAGGTGAGCACCGTGAATGTGGGAGTTGAGCCTCCACTGGGCAGGTAAAACCCTGGGCGTCCAGGCCATTTGTCCCTCAGGCCACCAGGTGTCCAGCTGCCCTGGGGCGCACCTGGTAGGGTTCAGCCTAGGCACAGGGGATCCAGGAGGCCAAGGAGCAGGGCCTCGTGTGCCCCAAGTGAGCAGAGGGGGGCCTACCTGTGATGAAGGCAGGGCAGGGGACCCCAGAGAGGAAGTGCAGTGGGAAAGGGCCCGACCGTTGAGTCCCACCAACATCGGTCTGTGGCAGCTCACTTCCTCTTTCTAAGCGTTGCTTGTCCTCTCTGCCCCTTGACGCACCTTGTGAGTACACCTCTGACCCCGTATTTGCCCCCACAGTGGTGGCCTGAGGGTATTCCATGTGGCAGGTCAGGGGGGCTGTCCTGTGACAGTGCCCTTTCAGCCTCCTCCCTCCGCCACGGGCCAGGCCTACTTGCAGGGTCTCTTTCTGGAAGGTTCCTGCTGGCTCAACCTCTTTCCCTCAGTGTCCCCTGGGGCTGCAGACAGCAGGGCAGAATCACTGAGAAAGGACTTCTCAGAGGCACTTGGAGAACCAAGGTGGAGGAGTGACCCCAAAACCACAAATCCCATTAGAATGTGACCCTGGACCCACCTGGGAAAACACTTTGCAGTCTAGAGGGGAGCAAATGACAGGAAAATATCTTCTAACAGAGCAAGGAGGCAAGCAGCTGTAACCCAAGACCACCAGTAAGGTGATAAAGCGTCCTCCCTTCCCCCCTTTATATCTACGCCCCTGTTCAGTATGAAGAAGCCAGAGAGTCGGCATCCAATTCCCAAATCAATAAGACAGTTGGCTTAATTACTATTGGAAAATGCTTGTCATTCCTCTGTAGCATCTGGTCCCCACTGGACCCTCATCATTTCCTTCACCTGCTCCCCCCACCGACCAAACTGTGCAGCTCTGCAACTGCATCCCTGCCCATCCTCACCCTTCTGCCCCCAGCCCTCACCTCCTTGTACCCCCAATATGTTTTTCCCAATTAAAAAAATAATTGTAAAAATAAAAAAAAATTTTTTTTAAAAATGTGACCCTGGAGACTGAGTGCCTGACGTAGGCAGGAGACAGCCTTCCTTGCAGCCCACGTCTTACATTGGGGATACTTGGGGAGTCAGCATTTGGTGGACTCCTGGTTTGACTACCTAATAGCTTTACATAGCCAGGTCCAGAAGGAGGGTCCCCAGCAGTGGGTCACAGGTCCCCACCCTGTCTCAGATAGGCCCCCGAGGCTGTGTGGTGTGTGGTGGAGCCCAGGCCGAGAGGCTGCCAGGCTTTGACCTGCTACTGTGTGACCCCTTGTCCTCACCATGTTGTCCTTCTGTTTAAATAAGAGCAGCAGTGCGACCTGCCCACAGGCCTGGGGCGGGGGGTGACACGTGGGGCACAGGCCAGACCGGTGAGATTCCACAACTGAGCTGCCATATCCCTGGTTTCCTCTCCTCTCCAGACACCTCAGCTCATCTCCACACAAGCTCACTGTCACCAGGCCGTCCTCGGCCCCTCCCCTCCTGACTTTTTCAAGGCACCTCCCTCCCTCAAGTCACTGGTTTAGTGGATTTTGGCCTCTGAGGCTGTTTTCTCAGCATCTAATAGCATGATTTTTACAGTGTTAGTTTGCTTGACTCCACAATCAACACTCTTGGTACCAGCAGCCAGGAAATCAAGAGATAAATTGCATTGGGAAAGTCAGCTATCAGAGATCTCTCCAGAGTACTGAAGAGCAATGACATCAGGCTGGAGACTAAGGTGTGCCTGATCCTGGCTATAATCTTCACAATTGCATGCTATGTGTCAGAGAGCTGGACAGTGACTAGGGATGACAGAAGGAGAATTGATGCCTTTGAGCTGTGGTGCTGGAGAAGAGTGTTGAATATACCATGGACTGCTAGGAGAACAAACAGGTTCAGGCTGCTCCTTGGAGTCAAGGATTCTGAAGCTTTGTCTGACATACTTTGGGCATGTTGCAAGGAGGGACCAGTCCTTGGAGAGGGACATCACGTTTAGGAGGATGGAGGGACAGTAGAAGAGAGGAAGACCCTCAATGAGATGGATCGGTTCAGTGACTGGGGTAATGGGAGCAGGTGTGTCAGAGACAGGCTGGCACAGGACAGACTAGGGTTTGGGGCTCTTGTACACACGGTCGCTATGAGTCACAAGCGACTTGACGGCACATAACAACAACAATAGCATGGTGCTCGTGGGCACCTGGTAGCTTCTGAGTGAGGTGAGGACAGGCTGCAGGAGGCCCAGAGCCCAGGTCTGAGGTGAATGTGCTGACAGCAAGGGGTCCCCAACTCAGAAAGGAGCTTTATTTCTAATTATGCGAAAACTATCTGAACGCATTCTCATGAAAAAACCCCTCAGGAATACAGAAGTGTGTGAAGTAATGGGGGCATTTCCCACTCTCCCCAGGGGACACCTCTTTGTCCCCATGGCACCCTTCACTCTGGACCCCTGTCCTCTGCACCTGTCTGTTCTGGCAAATGTGTTGTGTGGAAAATAGTTGAGTGTCTTTCATAAATGGGTTGTACAGTGTGACTTGTTCTTTTTGGCCTTCCTGGGTCTTCTCAGTGGTCCCACCTCTTTGGTCAAAGGAACCAGCCTACCCCCCACCCTGCGGTGGTTCACATGTCTTCATTCTGAAAAACAAGGACACCACTGGAAAGTCCCCTTTGCAGGGGACAGCAAGATGACCATCACGAGGAGAGAGCCAGAAGGGGAGTCGGCACAAAGCCACGAAGGGCAGAACAAGAGGGGGGCTGAGGTGGAGCAGGAGTGACCGAACCCCAATGCCCATCTGCATGGAACCAAACTTGTCAGGTGAGGGCCAAATGGGTGAGTGAAGTCAGGTTTCTATGGGCCCCTGCAGCCTTCACCTGCACGCCCCACCCTCCCTGCACATCCTCGCCCTCCACGGGGTTCAGCCACTTGGGGGGTGCCAGCCTCCAGGAAGCCTCTCCCTCGGGCCTCATCCGGGCAGCACTCTGTGGAGCAGCGGAGCCCCTGTTACAGATGAAGTAGCTGAAAGCCTGAGCCTCCAGGACCCTGCGGAGGGCACAGGAAGGCCGAAAAGAGCGAGTCACATGGCACAACCCCATTTATGAAACAAACACCCAACAAACTATTAATATTTTCCACACCGCTCACTACGCCAGAACGGAAAGGCCCAGAATGAGTCTAGAGCGCGGGGAGCCATGGGGGAGAGAGACTCCTCCGAGGGGAGAAGTCGGGACATGCCCCCCATTGCTCCGCACACTGTTAACATTGTTCAAGGGGTTTTTTCATGAGGGTGTTCAGATATTATTCGCATAATTAGAAATAAAGCTTATTTCTGAGTCAGACTCCTGGTCCTCAGAGCACTTTCACATCAGATTTGACGGCACCGCCTGCAATGCCCCCCCACCAGTGCCCCCTGATAATACAGAGCTTCTAGGATGGGCTTTGTCACCCCAATAACAAATTTTGTTTGATGGGCTCCCTATGTCCCCCTGGATAACACAGCCTGTCCAATGGGTCCTCTATGTCCACAGACTCCTCACATACCCCTCCCCCAGCACAGAGGGCACACAGGCTGAGGTCACAGCCTCAACTCCGCTTCCCCCATCTGAAAGATGGGTGTCATAATGGTAGTTGTATCCAAAGGTGTTTTGGAGACAGAGATGAAGGGAGACTCCCCTCTTTCTGACAGGCTCCAAATTAGTCATCTTTGTAAAAATAAAGTGTGAGTGGAAAGTTGAGAGTACCAAGAACCATTAGGACGTTTCAGTCACCAAGCCCCTTATTTTCCACTCTACAAACACACGGAGGAACAACTACACAGTTACCACACCTGGTGAGCTGGACCGTCCTCCGAACTCGTTCTAGGCAGACGTTCGAAGCCTGAAGCACACACCACCCCACTCACCCCCACACCATCTAGGTGTCTCTGCATCAGGCACCTTCACATTCTACACCCACAGACACTCATCCCACAGGCCTGTCCCCAGTGTCCCGGCACACAGCCGCTGGTAGACGCCATCAAGGCACTCAGAAGCGTCTCCGTCTGATGAGTGATGGTGCTTCACTCCTTCTAGGGGCCGCCTCCCTCTTTTGTCTTAGGTTGGGTGCATGGCGCTCCCCTCTTGCTGGGCCTTGAGAATGGTTCTTCCTCACTGCTGAAGCAGTCAGAGGCCCTAGTGACCTCTCCCCTACCCCAAATGAGATCCAGCCTGGCCACACAGGCCACCCTCTGCCAGGACCACGCTCCCAGCTCCTGGGTCTCCACAGGCCTTTTTCTGCCCAAAGGTCTGGTCCCAAAGGTCTAGTCAAAGATGTAACTGAAAATTCTCCACCCCCAGTCTGGTAGTCAGGGCCCTGGCTGCTCTGACTACAGATAACAGGAGTACTGCTGGTGATAGAGGTGGGGGTGGCCCAGTCTTCCTGGCCCTGCCACCCCACCCCCAGAAAGGCCTTTCCTGCTCTGGCTACCTCCACCCCCTCAGCACACACCCACACTCACACCCACCACCTCAGACCCACTTCTCCTTTGCAGCCACCCCACCGCCTACACCTTCCTGCCACCGAGCTGGAAGGCAGGGGCGGCAGAGGCAGTGGGCCAGAGACCCCCAGGACTGGCTAGCTTGTGGCCCCCTGAGCCAGACACCTGGGGCTCAGCCTTGCTCCACTCAATGCAGAGCCAGCTACCAAAGCCTTCTCCTAAACAACTGTGGGGTCATCCCCGTGGTCCCAGATGACACTGCGGGAGGCCCTCGCTGGCCTGTCCAGATGCTGAACCCAGGGAGGAGGCCCTTTCTGAAGTCCCCCCATCCTCAGAGACCTTCTGGAGGCTCCCCCTGCCAGGTCTGGCACCTGATGTATTTTCTCCTGCCCCAGAATCCCCCTCGAGAGTATCCTTCTGTCCACCATGTGTTCCCTCTGCTGGAATGCTCCCCTCCCAGATCCCTGGACAGTAACCCCTTGTTCTGTGCTCCCTGCCCTGAGCGTCTAGGGGTCTGGTATGGGCACCTGTGAGTGCTGCATGCTGGGCTGTGAGTTCCAGGCCTCCCTGTCCACTCTACGCCCTCATTCACACCCATCCCTCTAGGAGGGCAGAGGTTGTATGCACAGGGGTCTGAGACCAGACAGGCCGAAAGAGACAAGGGAAGAGGCCGGGGTGGGGTGACCCAAAGAGGGGAAGACAAAGGTGAGCAAGCAGGGCACATGGCTGAGAAGTGTCCAAAGGGATGTGTGTCCATCCGTTGACCTGACTGTTCTTTCTGCTTAGGATCTGGAGGTGCCTGGCCCTGCCCTCCGCCCTGCAGGGCCTGGTGATTCCCCTCCATCCCAGCCAGCAGCCCCTCTAACATGCAAATGCCATTGCAACAAAGCCAGACTCACCACCTGCCTCTGCAGCGCCCCAAACTGGATCCAGGCTGCTGAGGTCTCCTCCAAGACCAAGCCAGCGCCCTGGGCCCCCATGCACTCCTCCCCTCACACATGGCCCTTCCCAAAGAACATCCCCTAAACCTCATGGCCTCCTGTAGGAAGCCCTCAACCCCTGTGGTGATGCCCTGCCCCCAAAGGCCAGCATCTGTTCTCCCCATCACCACCTCCCTGTCCCTGCGGTCAGCGCTCAGCTTAGGGCTCCGGACTGAATGGTCACTCGGGAAATTCTGATGATGAGCTGACCAGATCATTAAAAAGACCAAGGTGGGCGAGGAGGCCATGGTCTGAGGGTGGTGGAGAGCACCTGGACTGTGGGCGGGGCTTGGTGAGAGGGAGACAGAGAGGTGACCCCTGAGTGTGTGTCCACATGGCAGGGCTGTCCCCCTTCCCTTCCGTTGTACCAGACAGTCCCTGGTCTACCCAGCCCTGCACTCAGCAGGGGTGTGGGTGATGGTTGAGTGGAGGGAGGCGGGCAGGGAGGTCTGGGGTGCAGGCTGGCCGGCTCAGTGGTCCCACCCCAGTAGACAGGGGGCGGGGCAGAGGCGGGGTGGGCCGTGGCCCCTCCCGATTTCCTCCCCGCGGGGTACAGTGGGTCCCAGCTGTGCAAGCAGGCACCGTGGGGTGACGAGCGAGGAGCATGGGGGTCCGGGATGGCCGGGCCACCACCCTGTGCGGCCAGGCCGAGTGCTTCGACTGGCTGCTGCGTCTCTGCGTGGACTGCAAGCTCTTCCGGACGCCGGAGCCCAGCCCAAGTAAGACGGGGACCCCTGACGACGAGGGGAGGCCGGGGACAGCCCCTGGGCGGGAGCGCGCCTTCGGCAGGTGATGGGGGCCGGGCGCTGGGGACCCGCGGGCGCTGGGGACCCAGGTTGCTGCATGG